TGGCAAGCGAGCTGGTGGTTTACCTTATGATAAGTGATAACCACCGCCCATGGTCATGTGCAACACCCGTAGGGTTGCAGATGCGTTGCCTCCTTTTAATAAAGTGGGCTCCATCTCCCTCACTCACCAGACGCGACGCAGAAGTGTAACACTTCGGCTTCATGTCGGTCTTCTGTGAGGTCGTGGTACTTAACTGTACGAAGGTTCGTTCAGGTAAGTACCGGTACCAGTGGGTAGGTACCCATTCGTGCAATAGCGAGGACTAAAATTAAGAATTGACCAAGAATGGTCTAGCAGCTTAACACTTGTTAACACTAAATAGCGAAAGCTGCGTTGAATAAGAACGGATTAAGCTTAGACCTGACGATTAAGAACTTAACAATGGTGAAGCAGTTAACTAAATACTTTATACTGCCATCTCCTTTTCACCATGACAAGGATTGACTGGTGTAGAATGCCATCAGGCATTAATTCCGCCCATTGTAGTCCTTAAGGTGTAGCAATGAAGCTTAAATGAATAAGTAAATAAAGTCTCATATTTGTATGTGGTCAAGGAAACAACAACGGTGCTTTTAGTAAATATTGGTTAATTAATGCGCTCATCGAAATGTTGCCAGTAGCAGATATTTTTACGCAAGCTTTCAGAGCTTAAAAGACATGTGACATTTTTACTAAAGACAAAAAATAGTGGGATTTCGTAGTAATCAACGCCGTTATATGATAAGGTTATGATGGGTTACTTTACTGTGGGTGCCGCAGGGCCAGCCTTCTTGCCACACTAATGGAAGACTCGTCGCGAGAAATCCACGGCCTCATGGAAGACCCGCGCTGCGTGAAGTGGAACTGTAATTCTTCTGCGTTTCTAGACAGGGACACACTTTGGTTAAAAATGTGGCGACGAGCCCGCAACATCACATCGGGTGAACCGTCAGTTCCCGAAAAATAGAAAGGGCTGCTTTCTAGACAGGCCATGTGCCCTGATTAGAAAATCTGTGAATGCATACGACAAATTGACACAGTACCAATAACATACAAACTTTGCTTAGGGTAAAATGTGTACAGAAACAATATTTTTTTCATTTAAAGCTTAGATGATGATCTTAAGCATCCCGATCTAAAATAAAAAATTATGTACACAAATACAACCTAGGTACGTAACGTAAACAAAGACAGCCTGAGTAGCTCAATCGGTCCAAACATTTAAAGACGTGAAGTTTTATTTATCTATACCGATCAATTTCTATCAATCCAATTAAATCATTCATTTTGTTAGGCTATCATCGCTACAACGAGTATCGCAAAATGCGCAACAGGTGTCACCACAGGCACCCACAAGTTTGTCATTTAACACCGACTCCTATAAAGCAGGTTCCAATCCATCGTCGAATGTTCCACGAGGCCCAATCGAGCTTATTTATTTCGTACACCGTCGAACGTGCACAAAGGCGTTGCCGGGACGACAGCGACCGTCGCGAATCGCTTGACAGTCGCCGCTTTAGCACAAACGTCACACCTTCACGCTGCGCGCTTTGAGTGCAAACGGCGAGTCGAAATCCTGAATAATGCCCCCGTCTTCAATTACAACGACAATGCGCAATCAATAACAATTTCAGGACGCGGCACCGAGTGACAGCTAGTGAGAGAAGAAAACAAACAAGCGAGCATCGAGAACGGATTGGAGGATTTCATGCCATCAAGGCCCTATTGAGTGGATGAATATGAAACCGTGAACCTTAGCCTGTAGAATGTATTCAGAAGTAAGAATCAGTAATAACCATTGCTTCAAATGCTAAAAAACAATGTAGATAAAAGACGTTAAGATGGGTATATATATATAATAAGGTTTCGTCGGTGTGGCAATCAGCCGTTTAGCTTACCTAGTGGCTAAAGGGTCTGGCCGCGTTCGATTTCCACAGCGGCCACAATCTTTTCGTACTTTTTCTACAAAATTTAATGTTTAATTTTAAGTGCTGAGATTAGAACTATAAAACTTTTAAAAGTCAGTAATAACCATTTTTTTTACTAACGGAAAACAAAACCGACTTCGAATATCTCGCTCTGTATTCATTTTATAATTGATTTTCAGAAGTTCCCTAAGTATCTCCGGAGCCCAAGATTCGATACCAATGAAATTGATATGGGACCACATGGGAAGCACCAGCTTTCAAATAAAAAAAGGATCATCAAAATCGGTTTACTCAGTCAAAAGTTCTGACGTAACAAACATAAAAAAAATACAGCCGAATTGAGAACCTCCTTCTATTGAAGTCGGTTAAAAATAGGATTCAGCACGGGTCACTTATACTGATCTAACCAACTTGATGTTTCTGATTTTTATTAATGATATGTGTATTAACGACAAGGTTATTATCGGCGTATTCAAATTAGTTCTTTCCTTGACCTATTCTAAAAAGAGAACTGTATTTAACACTTGTCGTTTTGCTGTTCAAAAGGAAACAAATTTTTTTGTTCAAACTTTCACAACACTTTTAACTTTTCCAAAATAATTGTGAATTTGGTAGTAATAAGTAGATTTTTCTAGATGAAAAGCCATCTTCATTTGGATTTGAAAATATTTGAGATCCGGCGAATAATATTTATGCTCCGCTGCCGTTTCCGACTCCCTCCGTGCAGTTTCCTATCTCTCCCAGGCGACTTTAAATCTATTCTTGACCGGACTTTCTCATGGCCGGGGCAATATATCTATATTAATTATACATTCCAGTACAATGTAAACACAGCTTATTGTCCCCCGTTGGGGTGAGTAGTCGCGTTGCCGCGTTGTCTATTCGTCTACGGGACGTCAATGCGCGGCTGCCCACCGTGCAAACGACAATATAATACTCCTAATTATGCCCTATGCTAATTTTATAGCCAAAATGTCTTTTTGTAGTTACGCGGTGTATAATTTAAGTGTTGCCCCGTTGTTGTGCGCCTCCTTGATGCTCTTTTGTGCACCGCTCCTAATGATTTAATGCCCAGTGACGTGGCGGTGTGAGGATTACTCGTGTGACGTCATGACACTCGGCGGGCATAATTTGAAATTGATTAGAATGCCGCCGGGGACAAGGAGTAGAGATGAGTGCGCATTACAGATGTATCTATCAAACGGGGGATCATTTTTTCACTTAAATATTCATTATGCTACAACTCCTTTCCTTATAAACTGATGTATCGTGTTTATTTACGAATGCGACAAAAAATTTTAATTAGTTGGAACACTCAATCAATTACTTCATCTCAGTAAGTCAAATGAAGTAATATTTTTAATAACGTCACATCATGTATGTTGCGCTAGTAAACAATTATTCTTGTTTATTATACACTTTTAATTACAAACTAAACTTACACACACCATCATACATCCATTAAAATATTCTGCAGAGAAATTGTTATCCATTAGCGTATGTGAATTGTATAAGAAGCGACCTACACATTTAATCTATAATTATTTAATTACATATTAACTGTCACATAGCCGTAAGTTTAATCCTAGCTATCATAGAGACTGTATGTACCCTATCAAGTTAAGCTTCGTTGTTTGTGTCAAAGCTTACAAAGCTGCGTGCCTTATGCACTGGAAATTATCCACTATAACATGTTAGTTATAGACTGCGTAGAAAAGATTGTTAAAAATAAACATACAAACATTCTCCATTTCTCCATACCCACTAATTATAAAGAAGAGGAAATTGTGACGATAAAAACCCGTCCTAAACTCCTATCTATTTACGTAAACTTAATCACATGGGATCATATCCAACCGAACATTTAAGTTTAACTCGATTATAATTATGACATAAATCCACACCTGCTTAGCTTTCGCTTTATCGTAATTCGTAATACTGGTCGAGGGGTTCCCACGATTTAAGAATTCTCTAGAAACTTCTTTTAAGGTTATACCTACATTACAATGTGACAAATTAACAGCCCCACTAGCGCTGCTGGCTAGCCAGCCCTGAGAATTGCTTACATTGCCTCGGCGAGGGCGGTCCGCCCAGCGTGCGCTGCACCGCCCAAAGTCTCAACTTCCCGCGGCGCGTTATGTCAAAGACGCCCTTGGAATTGTAAACTTTCCCGTGAGTATCGCATAATTATTACACACGAATTGCATAGCCTCATATCCATTATTGTTTAATTACTCACTTCTACTGTCCAACCTGTGTAAAAGTATTTTATGTTTATTTCTTTCACGGATTGTTACATCATTAAATAACTAAATAAATAAATATTTTAGGACAACGTTACTACGTTACGTACATTTTTACACAACGTTATCTAGTCGAAAGTTAGGCAACGGTTGTACTAACTGGGTACTAGATAACTGATAAACATACTTTTCTTTTGTAAATATATATTAAAAATCAGTAATAAATAGTCGAAACAACTCAAAAAACACTTGATTGATTCTTTTCTCATTTTTTATTTATGGACTTTTACACAAACATGGATATGTCAGTCAGTCACGGACCTTATAACTCATACATTAACAATCGGACTTATATTTCCACATTACTCATTATAAAGAAAACACAATTATATGAACATAATATATAAGTAAAACAGACTCAGAGCTACATTCCACTTTATATTGACAACAAATGTTTTTAATTTAGTAATCTTATTAAGTATTCGCTAGCTAATTTAAATTTGACCTATTTCCTTGATACAATAGAAACTATTGCTTTATACTAGATCCCTTTAGCTCCTAGAAGTATTAAATTTACCGTTTATGGCCTTTTTTTAAGTAATAAAAGTACCTGCATAAACGAAGGAATTATCAACACCACAATCATACGCATTAATTCAAAATTAAAAATATATCTTACATAATGAAATGTTTCTACTTTGAAATTTAAAATTGCTAACTCCACACAATCGATACATATTCGCGCGTATCGCGCATTCAAAAATTAAAGTGTATTTTATCTAATGACGGGTAACAATTTGGCCTCTGCTATTAACGCGACGGGGTCGCTGCCGTGCCCTTGTCGACTTCACGACGCGGGATGCCGAAGATGGGTTGGCTGGTCCTGCTGCGAGGTGAACTCACGATCGCGGTATGCCGAGGAGCTCATGAGAAAATGAGGCGTGCCCGGACTCAACTGGGTTACGTCGAGCTCTAAACTTGACAAATACAATATTACATTTGGTGAGAAAATGGGCGGAATGAGATTTTCACGCCTGTTGGCGAAATGAAAGAAGGGGGTCATCAGTGACGCGCAGCGTGGCTGGAGAGTACGCGGGTTTGGTTCCCGGCGGTTTACAGCAAGGGCATTTCGGATCTTCTTCTCCGAAGACCGTTGTTCTTGTCCGGTGTACGCTGGCTACTCCAGACAAGTTGGACAATGAGCTTGGTGTATAGTATCACCAGCTATTTCTGCTTATCCCATTAGGATGATATAGTGGATACCTTGTACAGTCACGAAATTGCTAATTCTTTACTGTAATACGGCCACGCGGCAGCTTCTGGCAAGTAGCATGGCTGAAGACTGGCCCAAAGTAGAAGAATTTAAGCTTTTCTCATTACTACTAATTTCTTCTGATAACTGAAGTAGCCGTGACCTATCCCATGAAAGGTGAGCAATGTAACGACATGCCCAAGGATAGAGCGGAAGTCTTTAAGCATTAGTCACTAAATATAAGAACAGTCGGGTCTTTACTATCCCATTGCAATTAAAATCACCGTAGCTCGGTGGCAAGAGCATCGTCTGCCGTGTGGTGTACGTAAATTCGAATCCGTATCTCATAGATATTAACACGATCCAAGAGCTAATGTTACCCCGCAATAAACGTAGTTTAATATTGTTGTTTTGATCGTTTCTTAGAAAAACCGAATTCATTGATTGCCCAGACTTAAACGGCGGATATAAATTTAATTGAATTACACCTTTCAATTAAGACTCTCGTGATTGAATTGCCCAGTTTGGCTTTAAAAGCGATTTGAGTATTATAAAATACAGTAGTAGGCCGTCTTGAGATTCTAATAGTTTCTATAGTTGAAACGTAATAAATAAACAGAAGTGTGATACTCATAACGGGTTTTTTGTATTTTGCTACGAAACAAAGCTAAAAATTTAACGAACAACCATCACAAAAGCGTTGTAGTCGAAGAGAATTAAAAAGAAAAGAAGAAGCGAACTAAATTGAAAAAAAAAAATAGATAAAACTTTTATGAAAATATTTAAGAGTTTAAGCTTGTTACGGACTATAGGCGAAATACTTTATTATGGTTATAACTCTGCTCGACAATGCAACAGAGAAACCCTTGCATCCGGTAAATCGCACCTCTTCAACGGAGGCGGCCAACAAAAGGCCAAATTGATCAGCCATTACTCGATTCACCCCAGAAAGGGATCACGGATTCAGGTGTCAAAATTGCCCGGGAGAAAAAAAAAGCTCGATTCACAGAGATCCGTCAACGTATCACATCTCGAGGAAAAGGTGCGCGCAGAAAAAACAACGGCTCAGAAAAAAAATCTGTCACAATGAACGGAATACGCAATCCGAGAATCCAATATCGAGACACAAAAGCCGCTGTTATTTTAGGATGTATGGGAAGCACCTTTGATATTTTCACGTTCTCTTTTCCTAATCAGAAGTCGATTGGTTCATCCATTGAACGCACAATGTGTGAAATAAGACTTACTTAAAGTGCTTTTAAGTTCAGTTGTAAGCGATACATATGTTGATAGGCTTGACGCTGTAACGTACAAGAAACCACCAAATAAAAATACATTATAAGAAATATATCATTTCGCATATATTTCCACTGGCTTTAGAACGTAGCTAACGTCTAAATAGATGTAAAGCTAATGTTATTAATATTCGAACATGAAAATAATCTACAAACATTAAAAATTATTAAAACATTCGTGAGAAATGATTAACGTATTAACGTAACGTAACGTATTTATTACATTAAATTTACAAACATGTCCAGAACATGCAAATAATTTACATTTTTTACATTTGTATTCAGATTTTTTTTATTATTTACAGAAATTAGATGTTTTCATGAAATAGAGGTTTTTGTTAAAATCGACAGCAAGTCTTCTTTCTCCTTTCGTGGCGTATTAGAGCAATAAATGTTTTCTTTCCTTCTTCTTTCTTCTTTGGTATAGCAACATCCGCTGCACGATCAGCAGAGGAAGGACCCTTCAGGAGACTAATGTGAAGTGAAAATAGTTACTTTTAGCCATGTTTTTGCTTTCAATCCGTAGACTATTAAAGAGTCATCAAACGTAGTACTCGTGAGCTAGCCGGTACCCACGAGCTTGATAGGCACTTCGCGATGGATACGGCCGCATGTGCTCATGCGTGCGTTATTTTTGGGAAGGAATATCACTACGGGCCATCGAGGATCAGTACCGTCCGTGACCACGATGGCCGTTTAATGAATTAAGTACCAGGAGGACCGAGCTTTGCTCGGTTTGTTTTTTTTTTTTTGGTAAATCGTGTATTTTGGAAATTACATTTAGATACAAATTACTGAGTAATGAAATATGCATAATATTTTTGGATCTTACCGACCTAATAATAAGAAAATATGAAGTGGTGTTTTTTCACAAAAGAAACAAATTTAAAAAGCTCTAAAAAAAATAACAAAATAACAAATCGACAAAAAATTAAAAATAAAGAAAGCAATGATCTGGAATCGAAAAAAAAAAGTAAAAAAATAAATGTGTAAATGATCGTGACGCGAACCACGGCCGTCTGTTTTGAGGCCGCCCGATTACTGACCGAGCTATTATGACATTTTCTCTTGCGGCGAAATTTACCGTCATATTCGAATTATATTTTTCATTCCCTGAAAACAGGGATAAAAGGACATTTTCTAAAAATGAAACCTAGCTAGATCGATTTTTCGCCCCGGAATCTATGCACATACTAAATTTCATGAAAATCGCTGGAGCCGTTTCCGAGATTCCAATTATATATATATATATATATATATACAAGAATTGCTCGTTTAAAGGATAAGATTAGAGGCAGGGAGCGGGGAGAACCGTCCTGGAACTTAGGTGAAGCTTGTCTTCGCGATATGCTTTTTAATTTGGCTGATAGAGGTTATCGGAGGCTATCATTGTTAGTGGTTGCCGCAAACCAACAAAATCTGATATCGAGTCTCACTTATCAGGTGGACTGCATATTTAATATATTGCATATTATATTGACCTCTAAAATTCAATATTTTTTATATATTGCTTATCTGAACCAATGGCCTGAACTGAAACCCCAAATAAAACAGGCTAAAACAATATTCACCGTATAACAGAAGAACAGAAAAATTGATTGGATATTTATGTACCGATAGACATTTTGCGGCCTTCGCAATAAATTCGAAACAAAGTTTTTGGTTGAAAGTATTTTTCCATTCCCCATTCAAGAAGTAAACAGAACAAGCGAGAGGGACAAACGTAAACAACGGCCTCGGACGCGGCTTCGATTGGAGACTAAAGCAACATGGCTGCCGCCGACTGCCGTATTATTCAAACAGAAAAAGGAGACAATCGTTTTTTTCCAAGCGTTCCCTTTTACCTTTTACGTTTTATTCTATTCCATCTCGCGGGCACAATGGCGGCTCGCCGCGCCGTGGCATCTTAGTTGCCTATTCGATTGTTTTTTGGGTGTCAACATTCTTATTAAAGCCCCTTAAACGTGGGTGTAGAAAAAGAGTGCCGTGATAAATGCTCCGTTCCATCGGAGTTTAACAGAGAAACTGGAATGCCGTGTAAATAGTTGTATTTAGACATGGTCTGTAAGCCCGTTTTAATTAGTTTCCATCGCGTCCTTATGGATGTGACACATGACGTGAGTTTTGTTAAATTAAAATGTTTTAAGACGATTGTTATTGTGAACTTTTGTATGTACGAGCATATATTTACTTTATTATTTCAACATGTACTCATATCGTAACTGCCGTGAATTATACATAATCTGAAATACTTAACAGATAACAAACTTTTTGAATTAAATTTTATTGAGATACGAGATAGATTTGAAAGTGATTATTATTTCACTAATTTCGATCACACATGGGTTTTGTGTACACGATCTACGACGATTGTTACAAATCGTATGAGTCCATCACGACATCATCTTATTCTTAAAGCATGTTATCCATTTTGGTTTTCTCATATGTATTGTCTCGCTATGTATACATTTCAGATGGCGACTGCTTCAACAAAGTCCGGTCGACGAATGGATAAAGCAGGAGATGTAAATATGAAACGTTAGCATCGCAAACAATAAGCAGAGTTTAACATTTAGGGCGTCTAATCCGCGAATTGTGCAATCCAGGGCAGCCATTCTTTGCAGCTCGGAAACGCTCCGAATATTAGCCATTCATATCATAACGTGTATAAAAACGTCTCACGGTGGCATTGTGGGCCGCGTCTCGTCTCCCGCGGATGCTGCGCACAAAAGCCGGCTGAAGCTCGTCACAAAGGAGATCGTAACCCGTCATTTCTACCTATTGGCTATTTACGACAATAACCGTATTGTTGTCGGCGCGCCTGTGCTGTTCCATTGTGAGTGGGAATTCGCGAAACTGGAATTGTCTCAACGCTCAGCTAACGAACCCACCCCCGGGCTCCGTCGATAATAATGGTCCAACTCGGATTAATTTTTCTGATGGACCCATTGAGGAGGCGATTTAGCAGCTGCTGATTTGGATTGTAACGCCAAATCAGTTCAGGCTCGTGCAAATTCCTTCATGACTATTGCTATCCCGCCGTTCTTCTGCAATTAGCAGTTGGTTATCACCATTCGCTATTTCCTCAATCGCTATTTTCCTCAATGTACACACCCATACATAAATAATTATACAAAACAGTTTAAAATCTACTTACAACTTTAACTAACGTCTACAACTATTCTTTACATACAATATTCAATATCGTAAAAATTTTATTAAAAAAAATCGTTTGCAATTTAGGAATCGGATGAGATAACGTCAAGCATTGCAACAAAAACAATAAAAATATAGTATATAAGAATACGATTTTCGCGCGCTGAGGATGTCGACTTAGTGGCTAGAGCATCGGACAATATCGGCAAGACGCAGGTTCGAATCCCAGCAGCGGCAAAATTTTTTACATCAGCTCTATATTTTAAAGGAACCTTCATTACTTAAACTCCGGTGGTACAGCAGGCAGACACTGGCAATGGCGGAAGGAGTGCGTTTTTACTACGCACTCCTTCCGCCATTGCCAGTGTCGAGAACGGAGCTACGTGGCCATTCATCGGCCCATCATTGTTCGGAAAGCGTCTCACCACCGGGGCCCCGTGACAATATTTGATTTGCCAGCAACCTGACCACCTTTGTCGCACCCGTCGGACCGGCCACTCTGCTTTGTTTGCGCGCAGCAAACGCGGCCCAAAGGTTTTTCGCCTTGGAATCTCTCTCCGGCTTCTGTATTGATGAATGGCTCCTGTTATACAAACATTGGCAATTACGGACCGCGGCGATGGTACCTTGGCTGCTTTCTGTACGGCCGCACTTATGACCATTGTTGCTTACTGTGGCGCGTTGACTTGTTCCGTTGTGCGTCTCCTCTCACTACTCGTGTATACGGGAGTTAGTGAAGTGGCTAATTGTGTGATTCCATTTCTTCAGTGTGCTATTTGTAACAGTTTTCGTCTTGAAAACTTATTGAAATTACGTGATTTCTAACAACGACGTTATTCTTATTGACATTTTGTCGGCCTAATAAATTCTGCTCGAGTTTAGTGGCGATCAGTTAAAGCACCCAACGTCAAATCATAAACAATACATTAATAAACATTCATACTAACATCAATCTAACAAAGTATCAGTCCAGAGTTAAGCCCGTAAATAACCGTAGATATGTTAAAGTTTATTTTAACATAAATAAAGCATATAGTCTTTCAGCAATACGATTGTTCAATATTATATTGGATTCGTTTTATACGCCAAATGCTGCTCGAAAACAATGTTTTTATTTCACGAACTTTTTTCTGTAGTTGTTAGGCATACGTAGTATGTTTTTATTTATCTGTTATTGTTGATACAGGATTGTGTGCGTATGTGAAAAGTATAGCTCTACGCATCGTGTGAAAATCTATTTATACTTCACCCTCATAGACAATCTAAATTATTTTGATTCAGTGGAGGCATCAGAGCGTAAAAATTAACTCATGCGATATCACGGATTTATTTTTGTCTGTTCTAAATTTCGTATATCAAACAGAAATTTATCTTTACCACTTCATTATTTAGGTTCGAAATTGCTTGAGAGGACTACGTAGTGCTGTTTTTGTAAGTAGCAACCCTTTGATTTCATAGAATAACACCGGCCCTTGTCTTA